GTAACCGTTATCTTGACCTGAAAAGGAACGAAACCGAAACCATTTCAATCACAGGTTTCAATCGGTTTCCAGAAATTTACAAAAATAATAAATAAAAATTTCTTTGAAATAAATGATTTATTTAACCAAAATCAGCAACATTTTGCTAAAATTCTTGTTAAGTAGTAAATAAGTATGGCAAGGTAACTTTTCGCAAAAATCTGCTGATGACTTTGTTGTTGTGAATCGATAATCGATTAATTATATATAAGTAGTTTCTTTCCCGTACGCAATGCGAGATCCCGCGTGTGCCCAAAATAGCCCAGAAATCATGCCTGTACTCAACAAAATGGGTAATAGAGAGCGAAAATTCGAGCGTATTCGCTCGTAAGTGTATTCTTCTTCCTGCCCGAAACAGCCCGAAATTTTCTCCGAGTAAAAATGGATAAAGTGTCAAAGTGCATATCAGCTGTATTGTGTTTACATGTTGCCTGCATTTACTTGGTGCTTTTAAGGAAAAGTGAATGGCCTGTTGATGTATTTTATATCTATGTACTTAAAATCAAATTTGTGAAACCAAAATTCAATTTCCAAGTGTTTGCATTTAATACCATGTTCTGACCGACAACCAAAACATTTTTCCTTCATTTTCTTTTCATTTACAACCTTTAACTTTCATTCTTATTTTGCTTTGGCCAGGCAATTAACAATTAATCCGAAATGGCGTATTAAAGATGATAAAATATGACTTCCACTTCGATAAATAATCGAAAAAAACTAGTGAAGACACCGATTGGAATGAGTGGAAAGTGAGTTTTCAAGTAGTTTTCAGCGAAAACTGGTTTTCGTTTAACAGATTTTATATGGACGAAAACACAAGTTTTAGGTCGAAAACCAGTTTTAGCAACGAAAACATGTTTCCGATGTCGGTCAGAACATGGTATAAGTGACAAAAACAAGAACAACGTGAATCAGCTGTTTCTCGACTAGTGGGCACGAAATGTGGGTTTTTGCGTTTCCGTACTTCTGAACTTTGTTCCATTTTTGAAAGAAAATGTTTCTCTTATTCTCTAATTACCAAATCCGGTCCGGATTGTTAGGGAAAGAACCTAGTGTTGATATTATCAGTGACTGTAATTTTCGATTTTCTTTCCTCAACGTTTAAGACATTGTGATTTAAATAATATCAACAAAATTTCTGTGAAAACCCGAAACCGGAACGAAACCGAAACCAAAACCGAAATAAATTTTGAAGAACGAAACCAAAACCGAAACGGAAACACTTGGCAAAACCGAAACCCAAACCGGAACGTTATTTTGAATCGGTTTCATTCCTTGCTAAAAACCAAAAACAATTTTTTGCAAGCACTCAGGCATTATTGCCCATTGTACTTAAGGCCTAGAGACAGGATTTAGAGGAAATTGCTGCAACTGCAAACTTACCAGACTCCTGTGTGAATTTTAGCAGTTTGTTGAGGGAAAGAGAATGTATCTTGTCCATTCTCAGTACATCGGAGTGCAGTCGACACATAGTTTTCATTGCCTTCTCATGGATGGCTCAAACCAGAGGTGGCAAATTCAATAAAGCATTAAGAGCCAGTCCCGACGTTGTACTCATGGCCCCCGTAATGCCTATACACACACTCCTTTGTAGCCTGTTTAGCACAGAAGCCGTGGTTTTGACCATGGTTCTGCGCCACCATACTACAGCAGAAACTTGGCCTTACTAAAGCTATGTATATTCAGAATACCATAGCCGGTCTCGGAACCCAGGTTTTACTAAAGGCTCTTCGACACTCTCCGAAAACTTTCAGCGCTCGATTTACCTTTTGCTCAACGTGAGTTTTCCATGTCAGCTACGTATCTAGAGTTTCCCATAGCCATTTCACATCCACGGAAAGACTTAGGTTTACGCACCTAAGCACTGGAAGGTTAAGACCTTTCCAACGTTCTTTTTGCGTAAACGAAACTAGTGTTGTCTTGCTATGATTGACAGCAAGGCCCTGCAAAGTGCACCATTCATCAATATTATTCAGTATATTCAATATAATGAAGGATGTCAGAGAATGAGGACTACCCTGACTTTTCTCCAAAGACCTGTCTCCCCCACACTTTAGCATTTTCGGACACACACCATCTAGGCCCGGTCATCAAAAGAGGCTAGAGAAAACCTCACTGACTTATCAGTCACCACCTGTGATGCTATGAAACCAGTTGAGTCTAGTGGCTCTTCCCGTCGCGCTGTCCTCCACCATATCTCTGCTTGCGCCAGGCATTATCCTGCCACCCGGAAATTGAGTTTCCAAGAGAGTTTTGTATGTGTCCAGCAGCGACGTTGTAAATATAAGTTCCATAAGATTTTCTGAGATAATCAAGCCTAACCGTCAGGGCCTGTTGAAGTACCTTACACAGCCTGGCAGACTCTTTCAAAAGCTTAATTTTTGCATGTGAATTTGCCTCTTATATTCTTTCTGCACGTAATGATATTCGGACCAGTCCTCCTCATTTTGGGTTTTTAAAGCCTGTTGAGCGTTGTGAAAGTGGACGTCAAAATTGAACCGAAGTTGATCCTCAATTTCGGATAGCTGGCCTCTTTAATCCCCGTTCAGGATGAAAGTTCTGGACAAAGTCGATATTTGTTATTTGAAATGCGGAATCAGTAGCCTGTTACCTATCATTTTGAATATAATACTTTAGTTACTAGAAGGACTTTACCTTATTGGCAACATTCAATTCGTGGTTTTGTATTATACATACCTCTCTTTACATTACATATTTATGTATTTTGGAAGGAATTTCCGTCATCCCTGTTCAAATTTCGTTGGGAGACAAAGCGGTTTTGGCGTTGTGCTGTCCTCTGTGACATTTTTCGTTCTAACGAGGTTTATAGAGCTCGGAGCTAGATATACAAATATATGTATATGTACCTATGTCATTTTTTTTAATGATATCGAATCTCCAGACGAGAAAAAGGACTTCAAAGTTGTTTGCAAAATACAGTCTCCATGTTTAGTATCCGTTCTATTGGGTATTAAAGTGTGATTCTTGCCCATTCTCTCAAAGCTGTTTGGGCTGCTTTTCTCAAGTATGTTGCTTTACTACGGATGCAGTAAAAAAATTTCAAATAAACAGGATAGATTACATATCAGACTGGCTGCGGTAGGAGAATGTTGCTCAGTTTGGTGAAAAAATCAACATTTAAATGCATCAGTAGCTTATAGAAACCATCCATGTCTTTTTATTCTATTCAAGCGTCTTACCACTTACGTATACACTGCCGAGAAAAACTGAGTACGTAGTGATTTTTCTGAAATATTTACAACTTTTTTCAAGTGAACAACTTTTTTTTTATTATATTATAATACGCGACTTTTCCGGTTTTTTTCACATTTATAACAAGTGCTCTATAAAAACTGCAGTTGATTGTTGTTTTTTTTTGGGAACGGTCTTGTGCATATTTTTCCACAAGAATTTCATGTTTATGTGGAAAAAAAGACAAAAAGTCGTGAACGAACAAAATTATTAAAAATTTACGCGATTATATAGCTGCTCAAAACTTACACTTTTACTAAATATTCATGAGTAATCTAGGTTAGGTTAGGCTGTTGTGACAGAAACCTCAAAAGGTGTACCCACCTAAGCATTAATTTACCATATGTTACCATACTAAGAAAATTATTTGAACGGTAACTACAGGTTCTCTATGTTAAACAAGGAGGAGCGCAGGGTGCTCAACACGAAATTTCGCAGGCAGCTGATGTCCACTCCGGAGAGCTGGGAAGGAAGTGCTGAAATGATTCCACCTCATTTTCCAAACAGCTGCGACAATCCGTGACGATATTCAGTCGCACCGCGCGGGTTCCTAAAGCATAATGTCCGACCAGTAAAGCTGTAAGAACCGAGAACCAGCTGCTAAAGCTCCCTTGAACGTGTGCGGCCAACAACCGGCCAGATAGACTTTGCAACTTTACATGTCGGAGTTTTTGCCCAGCGCTCTCTGAGCCGACCATGAGCTCATCTATCCAGGAGTAGGCCGCAGATTGACAGCGGAACTCCTTTTCTACCGAGAGTGCCCTGCCTAGCCAATCAGCTTTGCAATTCCCAGTGATATCACTGTGCTCTGGCAGTTGAGAGAGAGGTTAGGCGATCCCAGCACCCTGATTGCCGCAGATATTTACCCACTTAGTCGGTAAAACATTGGTGTATAGTAAATCGGCTGCCGCTTTTATAGCGGCCACCTCTGCCTGAAAGATGCTGCAGAGATCCGGCAGCCTGAACGTAAGATCTTTTGAGAGTTCCTGACAGTAGACGCCTTCTCCAACTCTCTCCTCCAGCTTCGATCCTTCCATGAAGATGTTTATTGGACCTCTATTCCAGAGACTGTTATTCTCTCATTCGCCCCTTGAAGTGATGTGCTTGGAGAAGGATTCTTTTGGGGCCAGCCTGGGAACGATGCATTTCCTCTTTGGAGTGCCCATACGCTGGACTGAAGGGGACCCCGGAGCTTTTGATCCTAATGGCTGAGCGTACCGAGAGTCGCCCTTTACCCGCGCTCTGGCTTCCTAATAAGAATAGTCTTTTTCAGTATATTCCAGCAGACAATGACCCAATATAACAGATTGGCTTGATTATGGTTTCATATAGTCAGTATATCACTTTTGGAGAGAGGTTCCATCTCTTCCCCATGACATTTTTACAGCAGTAAAGAGCCACTGCCCAGCAAACATTGAGGTTAGTTATCGATTAGAGAATGATTGGAGAACTAGCCAAATTCTCCAATCTCAAACGTTAGAGAATGACTCGAAAAACTATCGAGAATTATAGCGATCTCAACAAAAATGGGACATAGTTCTCGACTCGAGAAAATATTAATTCTCTAATCGAATTCTAATGTTGATCTCTAATGGGATTCGAATGTGAATTTCAAACTGCTGTGTTTTGCTTTATTAAATAAAACGCTTTGTTTGTAAAATGTGTACTAAATTTATTTGCAATAAAATAATAATGAATTATTTGAACTTAAACATAATATATGATTCATTTATTTGGAATATTGCTTATTTACCTAAATTTTTTTTAAAACTTTAAAACTATCATATGTCTTGTGTTTTTCACGTTTTGTTAAGATGAATTCATTTAGGTTAATTAAATTTGGTAAGATTAGATTTAAAAAATATTGCTGAAACATAATTAATTTTAAAATTAATAAAATAGTTAACTTAAAGTTCATTCACATGAGATCCTTATAAGTGTTACATTTAGTCTCGTTTTGGAAAATTAAGTCAAATTCCTTAAAATTTACACCGGCGGGCCGATAATTAGAAACAATTTGTCTTTAAAAATTTTGACTATTTACTTTTTTTTTATTACTTTTAATTTATTTTTTGCGAAAGCATAGTTCATGCTACAACGAAATCCACATAACTAACAAGTTTTCAACCTTGTACACGATTTATAAAAATTCGCTTAATTTAAAAAAATGTGGTGAATTTTTATAAGTCTTGTACAAGGTTTAAAACTTTAAGTTATGTGGATTTCGTTGTAGCATGAACTGTATAAATTAAAATAAATTTTCGAAAGTTGTAATGACGAATTGTTTCTAATTATCGGACTTCCTGTGTATGTACAAATACAGTAGCTTAACATAAATTATAATTGTATTTAGTCCCTGTTTTAGCTCAAGTTTAGATAACTTAAAAAGTAGAAGGCACATTTTTTAAATTAATAAAATTTAATAAAAATAAATGGATAAAGGATTGTTAATTCATTCAGTCTTAGTTTTGTTAAACTCAGGTATAATTCAGTTTTTTTTTTACTTTTACTTAAAATTAAAATGGCTATATACAGGGTTTGGATTGTTCAGCAAAAACTAGCAGTACATGTATGTGATTTTATGAAGTTATCTTGGAAGTTTCTAAAGTACTATTTCTATTGCTTTGATATACAGTGCGTTTTTGAAGTCGTCCTTTTGCATGCTGGAAAAAGGTAATGGAGGTTCGTGCGAATTCGTCGTCTGTGGATTGAGGAAATTTCATCGAAAGTGCATCTGGAAGATAGAAATAACAAATAAATAAATTTGCATGCATGTTATTGAAACAGTATACTTTTTAAAGCAGCTGTAATGCTTAAACTTCTTGCTGCCACTTTGGTGTTTGTCCCTTTCCAGCATAAATTTTGTGCTGCGTTATCGGTAACGATTTTACGCCAAGCCATTTTAATAAATTTTTCACTGCTCGTACAAATTATATGTGAAAGTTCTTCGGACTAAAAATAAATTTTTGCAATCACTTAATATAATAATTCATTCATATTGATTAAAACAAATAATTACCAGACTTTCGTATTTGGAAGAATGGTCCTGAATTTCCTTTTCAAATTTTTTAAAATCCTCAATGTTGTCAAACGGTGTTTTGGGGATAATCTCATTCCGTGATGTTTTATGGCTGTATTTGCTTTGTTTGGTTTCTTGTAAAATTCGTGTAAGGCTTCGCTTTATTGATTGTTGGTTGTGATCTATTTCTGTACAGTGTATATACATATGTATATATATATATATATATGTGGTTAATTACATTCATACATATCGCTTATTTAATTCAATAGTGCCTTAATCTAAAAATTAAAAATTTTGAGGTAAGTATACAGAAATTACCGCTACCTCTTCAATGTTGTATAAAAATTTCATAGCTGTATCGATTACCACTATCTCGCTAGAATAAAATATGTATTCATTTTACTATGGGAGTATATGTAAATTCAAAATTTTAAAGCTATTTATCTCGAGTGCTGCTTTTTTGAGTTGTAACGTTATTGAAGTAAATGAGCAATATGTATAATTAGTTTACCTTTCAAAATTTTTTTTTCGGATTTCCTTATCTGCTCTAAAACTTTTTCTTCCAACCTTTGAAGATCTGAAAAAAGTATAAGAAACAGATGTTTATGTTTATGAAATTAATTAATTAAAAATAGTGTTAACCTTTTCTTGTTATTGGTGTGTCGTTCGTCGCACTGGTAAAACTGGTATTAAAGTCCATGTCTGTCGCTTTAACGTTTATTAGGAATGGATAAAAGGAATAAACAAATTGACGCATTCATTATTAAATTTTATAATTTTTGATATCTGTTGTAATGAATGTTGAACGCTAGTGGTAGAAAACTCCAATTCCCTGCAACATTTGATATTCAGGTTCCCTGACCGTATAGGAGTTTCAAAAAAGTCTTGTAAATTAAGAACTTTTTTCCCTGATAGTTTTACTTCAGTATTATCATGTATAGCCACCAATTTATATATACTATTATTGAAGCTATAGAAATTGTCAGGCTCTTTAGTGGAAAAGAAGAAGTTTGGCGTTGTCACAGAAGTAAATACCTTTCCTTTTTTTAAGACGCATGACGAGGTTACAATACTTTGTGAGGCTAAGCTGTTTTCAACCAACCTATTATACACCTGTGCAGCGACATGTTTGCATTTCTTTATTTTCCTCTTCAGTTTTGATAAATAATTTTCAAATTTGAATGCGCTGAAAGTTTCTAGGCTTCCGAAATATAAGGTCTCATTGGCCAAATGAGTCAAACAATGAAAATTAAAAGTTAAAAACGTTTCATCATAGCACTCGGGCATACTTTCAACAAATTTATCTAACATTTGACTTGCACAGGTGTTATATTTGGTATAATAGTCTTTATTCAAAAGAATTCTTATGCTTAAGCTGAGAAGTAAGAAATGATTATACCGTACAGGATCTAAAATATCTTTCAGTATGAATATTCCAGAATAAAGTAAGAAAGATCTAAATTCCGTTGCCTTAAACCGTTCTAAATCTTTCAGCGATCTAGGTCGTCTAGCAAATTCCCGCGGCACTTGACTGTATAAAGCTTGAAGGCTTGAATCTAATAATTTAATTTGCGTTGGTTTAAGGGAATATGATTTGCTGCGTTTTCTTAGCAAAGCAATTAATAGAGTCTTAGTTACTCCAAGGCAAACCACATGCATGTAGTCTATACCAAATGTCTTCACAATATCTATTGGAAGTTTTTCGATGACCATGGGTTCTGAAAGAACATGATGGCTTTTGTCTACTCGTGCTCGAAATTCTGCGTCAGTTCGAATTGAATTATTTTCTTTTGTGAAAATGATTTTATGGTACTTCGATTCGCCTTTTTGTGTACACTTCGGACAACAAGAATACCCAGAGTGGCCTTTAATGCCAAGAACGAATGCTCGTGCAGGTGCATCACATATAAATGCCCGGCAAGTAACTTTATAACGCATTTCTTTAAAAACTAGTCCTTTTTCCAACAACCCTAATAACTCATCTACAAATATTTTAAGAAACTCATTAACATTTGTTGATTTGCTTTTCCCGCAGTATGCTCCTATAACTCTTATGTCATCCGATGTATGTACGTTAACTAAAATTGGCCATATCTGAGTATTAGAGCTTTTTGCCAATGGAAGTCCGTCGATATTAATGTTCAGATTCAAACAATTGCCACTAAAGTCCGTTCGACATAAAAAGTCAGTTAAAGCACTTTCAACCCCATAATGTACATATTCCCCGGAACCCATTATGACCTTTGGGGCACTCTTTGGAGTATTTTTCAAAGTTCGGGCACACAAAGGAAGGCCTGTAATGCGTTTACTTAGAATCTTTAACAAATCATCTATTGCTGCGTTCGTTATATTATGTTTAACAGTCCATTCTGTCAAGTCCTTCCGTAAATCGTTATTTGCATTAATGCAGTCATCCGTATCATCTTCGCTTGAAGAAATGCTGAATTCATCTGGCTCATCAAATGTTCTGCTGCATCCTGGCCTGTCGTGTGGCTCTTCTTCTCCTAGCAACGCTTCACATTCTGGATGCTCATCATCACTTTTACTTTCAAACAGTAAATTTACTATTTGCTCACTCTCACTTCTAAATTTCTTTCTATTCATTTTATTACGTGAAATAATTATATGTATTTACTTTAAATTTTGAAGCGGCACTCAATTTTCTCGAACAATTGCGTTTTATTAATAAGGACGATCGTAGCTATAAATCGATAGTCGATAACACAACGTAGCATCGTACCGACCATTGAATTTGCGTTGTTTCTCTAATCGTTCTCGAATCGAATTCTAATGTAGTTCTCTAACTTCGTCATCGACTCGTGAACGATTAGAGAATTACCCTAGTTATCTAATGTAGAAATCAAAATTTCTCTAACGTTAGAGACCGTGTTTGCTGGGTGATGCTTTTTTACGCGCTTCCATGATAACTTCCCGTCCACAATCAGGCCTAAGCATTTGACCCTGTCAGAGAAAACAAATGACGATGAGTACCACATCAGCCGCGTAGGCAAAGACATGGCATCCTCTCTTTTCCAACTTTATCTAAAAAATCGGATTAAAAAGTTCGAAGTTTTGATAAACATTTTTCTAAATTATTTAAAAGCTTTAAAACTTTGATTCTTGTAGTTTTCGTTAAAGCATGAACATTATTTTTATACAAAAAAAAAATCACAAAAATTTTTTACTTGAAAATCACCATGTACTCAGTTTGGCTCGGCACTGTACATGTAATATGAGGATTAAGCGATGAGAATGGGCCACTTGAGTAAATATTTTAATTATTTTGTTTTTATTAAGATGAGATTACATACTTCTAAATCTTCACCGTAAGCCTCATTTAGTGTCATTCAAACGCAACTTTTACATAAATCCAGTATATCCCTAAATAAATAGCTACGCTAAGTTCCATTAGCTACAAAAACAAAAACCAGCTGCTTTTCTAATGTCATCAACACATAAAACTTGAGAAAAAAACACGTATTTCGAGTACCTACAGACGGGAAGCACATCAACTTGCCGCGACCCACGGCATTCACAAGTTTCTACTTACTTATCATCAAACAGAAGTGATTGTCAGTCAAAAAGAAGATAAACGCGCGTCGAGATTAGCAACATTAAAAAAATGAATAAAAATAACAAAAAATAAACCAAAAAAAGTAAGAAATTTAAAACCCTTTGGTGTCAAAGAGAAACTCATAAAAAACGTAAAGAAATTTTCGTGCCTTTCAGCCGCCTTGCACAGCCACAGCCATGCTATGCAATGAACGCGCGGCGGCATGCAACTCCCAGTGGAGCCGCAGCAACGCACCCGAATTGAGTGGGCTAGCGCTGGGGAATGCACAACACAGGCATGCGGTGCAATGTGCAGCAGGGAGGAGACCATGGAAGTCGTTGTACCTATATAGAAAAAAGTGTTTGCGCGCGCTGCATGACTCCTACACTTTGTAACAGATCACACCTCGGCTATGGCGGCTGTTGGTTTTGTAAAGAAAGCAGTGCGATACCAAGTGGGACAAACGTGAAATTTACTAGTCAAAAAGAACTACAATTCTTCACGGATTTTCAAAGTTTTTTTGACTCAAAAATATGTTTTTTTAATGTATTTGGTTTTTGTAGTTAACGGTTTTGATTAAAAAAAAAACAAAGCGAATTATACGAATTTCTGATAACTGGAGAATTCGTTAGCCAATCAATATAAGTGGTATATCATATGACAGGCAATTGAATTTTCTATATTTTGTTGATAATTCATTTTCGTTAAAAACACACGTTTTCTAGCAATTTTTATTTTCAAAAATTTAAAACTTTTTTCTACTCATTTCTTTAAAATAACATTTAAAAAACTATGGACATTTAACAAATAACGCCTTGGGGTCACGCAAAAAATTTTGTTGCATCAAAGTGGGTTAAAAAATGAAATTTATAAAAACAAAATTAATTTTAGAAAGTAGTCCATTAAGCTTCTTAAAAAATTAATTATTTTTCAGTTACAAAAAAAAAATTAAGAACCCGTCAAAAATTTTAGTAAATTTCGCTTTGCACCACTGTGCGACATGCGTGATTTGCTGCTGCGCTCTGGACGATGGGTTGTGTTTGTGGCAGCGCTGCAGTCTGTCCTGCTTACAACTTTTATTGCTTGCGTTGCATTTTCATTTTCGGCGCTGTTTATGCTGTTTATTTTGTAAGTTTCTTTCTTTTTCGTGCCAACTTTTTGTGCCCTGCAAGTTGCAAGTTACAGCCAACCACAGGCAGCTGCATTGCTTTGCCGCACTTTTATTTTATTATTATTTTTTTTTTATTTGCCCCAAATTTTTTCTTTTTATTTCTCAAAGTTTTCGCAATCGGCGGCAGCACTACTTTTTCGTTTCGTTTTTTTGCATCTTTTTCAGGCTCATTTTCTGCAGATCTTTCCTTGGCTAAGCACACCAAAATAAGCGAAAAACTGGAACACACGTGTCAAGAATTGTGCAGGCGTTGCGAAAATTTTGTGCTCACTAAAATTTACGAAGGAGTTGCCAATAGATTTCGTACTTCCTCTCTTCTTCTCGTTCATCGCGCTGCCACTTAGCTTGAATGCAAATGTGTATATTGTACGCGTAGTGGGTTGCCATATGCGCCCGCATTGCCATTGTTTATGAATATTTTCGTTTCTATTATTAGCTTTTAGTTGGAGAAGAAATAAACTTAGCCATTTAAATTAATTGGTATTTATTGTGCCTAAATTCCTTTGCGGCTATAAAAATTAACACGATTTGCTTATATAGCGCGCGTATTTCATTTGGCGATTTTTGTGCAAATTGCCGCAGAAACAAAAGTGAATTAATGAAATGCTTTTGTGCTGATTTCTTTTTTAGCTTTGGACAAACTTGCGATCTCAGAATGTGGTTTAGCGGCGTTTGTTGTACCCATACTTACTATACATACAAATAAACATAAATTTAGTATCTGTTGGTATTTCATTTTATGGCTTATGTTTTGCATGACAATGCATAATTAATGAATGAAATAATATTGTGTAGTTAAAATTAGTAATTGATCGTCGCTTTACAGTGCAGTTCTGGCAACTATGTATGTATCTTGAAAGCTCTTTCGAAAGACTAATTAAAAGATCTGCTAACGAAGAGGTCTTACCGTTATGTTGTTCGCCTTTTAGCTATAAGATTTTTTTT